ACATGATGATCTGGAGCCAAGAATCATTTCTTGTATTTCATCAACTGTGGTAGTTCCTGAAGCAGTGATTTATGTGCAATGTCTGAACAAAAACGAGATGAATGCACATCATGACACGACAGATACTCTAAAACATTCTGGACATCCAAATGACGTAAAAGAACAGCAATGCCCACAGAACGAACTTCAGACGACACACTTATCCAATGATTACTACGAGAAGCGTAGTGATATCTCACCAATGAATAATCCATCAGAATTTCCAAGAAGAGAACTTCCTTGTACAATTCCGATCGAAGACTCTGACACCATTTCTCGTGATAATTGGAGATGTAAAGAAAAACGATCTTCCCTGGATACTGATGTTAAAGAGTTTTATACTACCACCAATTCTGAAGATGAAAAATCCAATATCGAGTCGGTGAAATTGCTTAAAAGTGGTGAGCTTCTACCCGGCGTCATAATTGAGGAGGAGTTGCTCCACGTATCCCAAACATCTAGCTTCGATTCAATTCTGCATATTCTGTGGTGCACCGCAATCAATGATGACAGCTATGGATTACTCATTAAATTCCCTACTACTGATAATCGAATGTTGGACTTGATTGTGAAATTAATTAATGATGAGAATCCTGAATCTGTTTATAAGAACAGAGCACTGATTCTGCGGTCCCTCAGTGAAGTAGGAGTCTGTCGGAATACCACCGAAGTAGATTTCGGTGTACAATCAATCCTTTTGACAGTATGTGGTACGCCGGCTGATATTTGGAAAACGTGTCTTGATACTGAGCCTACTGAAGAGAGATTTTATGAATGTGATGCCTGTGGTAAATATATCAGGAAAATTCCAGCTTTGTCCCCTGATTATAAGAGACCACCACGAAGCTACGATGAATTACAAAAAGCCCTTCCTTTCTGCAAGAGCTTCAGAAACGTTTCCTGTCGAAGGAGATCGTGTTCAGGTTCATGTGTGGTGACAACAACCCCCAATTTTCATCTGTTCATTGATCTTCCCCAAGGATCTCCACAATCTTCTATTGATGCCATCCCCAAATCTATCCAACGTGAATCCGATTATCGGTAAGTTGCAATACTCCTATTGTGGACGAAGTGAGGAATAATCGATTTTTTTTTTAATTGTCGATAATATTATTTGCTGATCGAAATCATTAATTATGAAAAACTTTAGTCATTTATTTCAGCGCATGTTGATCACTCTCAATATACAATAATACTAATAATAATTTGTGATGTTTATTGAACGATTAATTACTTTTTTTTATAAATAAAATGTCAACAGATTAGCGGGAATAATTGCTTACGCTCAGGACAGATACGTTGGATACTGTTGGACACCAGCAAATTGGGTATTATATGATGGCCATTCTACTGCGGTTCAGACTGTATCCGGGTCTGCGAAGATTCAACCAAAAGCTTTTATCTACGTTGTGAAGGAATCGCAGCCTTCACAATAACTTTAATGTATGATTA